TTTATTAAAACATTTTTATGCCGCCCCATTCGCTGAAGTCTCGGGGCGGCTTACAACAATAAATTAAAATAATTATAATCTTAAATTTAAAAAAATATAAACATTAGATTAAAAATACAAAAATACAGTATAAAATAAGCCGCCCTGGCCAGATAAAATCCAATAATATTAACAGTTAAAATGCCGCTTAAATAAAAAGGTCTTCGCCTGGCGCCGAAAAACAAATAATGACGGCGCCAGGCGGACCTCTCTGGGGAGCGCATTCCCTAACTTTTTCTGCTGCTCTGCATTGGATGTTCATAAGCCTCAGAATCTGGGGGTTTCTGAGCATCAATAGGATTAAAATAGTTAGGGCTACATTGTATCTAGACTTCTTTTTTTCAGGAAAACATTTGAAGGACCCCTTTTTGCCTACTTCTCTAGAATTAGACTGTTCAGAACTCCCAGAAGCCCCTCCCAGCATTGTAAGTGATCAGCAATACTAGGAGTGGAAGTTCTAAACATATGGAGATCTAGCTTCTGCCCATGTGTGCTCTAGAAGAACATTGTAGTGGTAAAAGGTAAGTACACAAAATCTGTCCAGCAATTCTGTTTGCTTTGTTTTGACCACCAGATAGTAAAATTTTGATCACACTCCTGCTTTTACCTTTCTGTAACAGCCTCAGTTTTTGTCTACAATACAGCTGTTCTCAAAGCAGCTGCTAATTTGACTTTTTGCCATTTCTGTTTTGAAAGTGTGGTCAACTAGAGGCCAGAGTGTTTTTTACTCTCCATTTGCCTTCTCTTTAAAGAAGTGTCTGCATTCATTTTTGTGACAAAAATTCAAGTGCCACAGAACTATTTTGCTGCACAGTCAAGAATTTTGAATGAGGGAGGACTGGTCGGACAAAATGCACATGCATGTGTCATGATGATGGGCATGTGAGCAATCTCTGTTTTTTGCTTTGTTCATTTCCCCATTCTTCCAGCTTTTGGTGTGACTAAGAAACAGCTGTGTTCTCAGTGTCTTTCCATGCTAACAGCCCGTATGCTAAGCATCAAAAGAATAAATAGGCATCAATCTGGGTACACTTGAAATGAAAGAAACCTGCTTGTCACTCCAGACATTAGCATTATGGATGGTCCCACATTCTTCAAGTAGGGCCTTCCCCCTACTTCAGTAAGCATCCTTGAGGATCTTGGTGACTAATTTAAATTGCCAAGAGAAAGACTGATAATTTAAAACAAGTTTCCTGTTCTGGAATTAATGTACCTTCTGAATACTTGTGCATGCTAGTTGATCATTATAGCACATTTGCTGCAATGAAACAGAACCTCTATTGTTTTCTCCGTATTTGTATGTAGTTAATAACACTTTGCTGTTTGTGAGTAGGCAAGCATTTTTAATAGATACTTTGCAAATAAGTTTAATTTCATGTTATCAGAGGAAGCTTTCAACCACAGTGTGTGCTGTAGTTATGCTGCATTTCACTGCAGTTCTTCAGCTTTCTATATTCACATTATATTCTGGATTTCCTTTTTGAAAAAGCCATCTTAATATTGGGAAGTTAAAAGAATATTTATGTATGTATGTACTTATTAGACTTATATTCCACATTACTAGTCCTATTTAGAGTCTCTAAGCAGATGGTCAACAGGATTATTCAGTTTTATGATCTTCAGGGACTGTCTACAAAAGTTCTGGCATATGTTCTCAAATTAAGTCCTTGTGAATCCATGGATGATTTAGAAAGAGAACCTAACTAATTAGTTTTCTGCAACACCTTAAGTACAACTATTAAGGAAGAAAGTGGTTTGCCCTCTTCATAACATTTTCATGAGATATACAGCAATTGTGTGTTCTCATTTCCCTTGGAGTATTAGGGTTCATATCCCTTCCAGTAGTATTCAAACACATTCTTCTTGTATGGGAGTAGCAGCTGCTGCTTTTTTAACTTTTGGAGAAAATTGGTATGAAACTAATGTTCTATTTTTCTTTTACAGATACTGAATCATGCCATTAGTTAAAAGAAACATTGAACCTCGGCATCTTTGCCGAGGAGCTCTGCCTGAAGGAATTACTAGTGAATTAGAATGTGTAACCAATAGTACCCTTGCTGCAATTATACGCCAGCTTAGCAGCCTAAGTAAGTCATTTTTAAAGCCTTTTATTGTATTTGTGTATGTATAATGTAACATTGAGTCTGGACCATTTAAAAATATGTCTTGGTCAGCCTGTGGACTTCGGGGTTAGCAGTCCTGACACCCAAGGTGAGGAGGCAAAATTAGTGAATTTCTGTAGTGAAGAGTGAATGCCTGTTCACCCTGACTTTATGTCCTGTGATCTTTCATATACTATATTCCTTTTTTAGATGCCTCTCTTCACCACTTTGTGAAGTTAGAAAAAACAGAGGATTTTAAAGGATTCTTCCTTTCTTCCCATGTGCTTATTTCTCCTTGCCATTGGGAAGACCTGGAGCTGCTCTGACCAAATGAAGGTGGCTACATGCAGCATTTCTAACTGTAGTACACTATCCCAAAAGATCAGCCTTTAGTCAGGTTGAGGGAATTCTATATTAGGTTGCAAAAAAGCATTTAATATGTAACTCTCTGAAAACTCCTCTGTGCAGATGTGTGAATAATATGTGTGACAGTGATTAAAATAGGAAGGCATCCTCTTTTTCTATAGGCAAGCATGCTGAAGACATATTTGGTGAGCTGTTTAATGAAGCCAACAACTTCTACATAAGAGCAAATTCCCTTCAAGACAGAATTGACCGACTTGCTGTCAAAGTTACCCAGTTGGATTCAACTGTGGAAGAAGGTAGGGAATTACCTTGTGAATAGAACTAGAAGTGATATTGACAGGGAAATAGTAATTAATTGCACAGCAATCTCTACTTTTTATTGTGGGGTTTATATTGAATTATACTTCACCTTGCCTTTTGTAAAAAAGTAGTTGTTTTAGGAAAAAGTCTCCAGTTTGGAGGAAAAGAGACAAAGCACAAGGAGAAACAAATATTACATAGTATTTCCAGCTAAAAACCCATGAAATGTATCTCTTTGTAGGAGTTCTACTTTTAATTAGATCTGCTGTTGAGTATCTTTCATCCAATATTAATTTATTTTTGATGTAGCTTTATAAAGATACAGAAAATTAAAATATCCCTCAATTTTTTTATGTTTAAACAGATATAAACAGAGCTACTTTAGGGTTGTCAAAGAAAATGATCCTTAATAATGATCATGTCAATTTAACCAGAGTTTAGAATGTTGGATACAGTTATAACTTATGCCACAGTTAAACAAGCCTCACATAACTCATGGGCTAGAGTTTTGTGAGGATTATTTAACCCTAACTGGGTTTGCATGACACAATAAACCATAAAGTCACCACCCACCATGGCTTGAATATTCAAAAGTGGGGATGTTTCTGGCTGTTGACCTACATAACCACCAGCATTAACAGAAGCATAGGTTTTGTGGTCTAGGATTTCTAATGCAAATGTTCAAGTAAATCTTTAGATTATTTTGAAAACACATTTAAGGATTGATAATTTAAAAGCCTCACTTACAAATTCTTCTTATAGAAGCTGATGAACAGTTATTCTCATGGGATCTGTGCTTGTGTGAAGCCTGTTGTTGGGTTGGGTTGCAATTCTAAGCACACTTACTGTGGAATAAGTGGCACAATGTTGCATGGGGATTACTTAGCAAATAAATTTAGGATGACACTACTATTGAGGCTCAGAACTTTTCTACGCAAGGCACTTAGTTGCTGCATCCACTTCGAGTCTTCTTGCAGAAAATATCTGAGCTGTATACAAAGATCTTTTCCTTCTTTCATCTTCACAAACTCAAAGTGGAATTTTGCTACAATGGGATATTAGAAACACATTTTTGTTTTCAGAAATAACACTCTTTTCCCCCACACTAAAAAAAATCCTCCCAAAAGTGCTCTTTAAAAAGTTTTAGCAGGAACTCTTTGCCTACCCTCAATGTTGGTATATAGGTGGGTTCCTGCCTATTCCTTCAGGTCTTTCTCCACCTCCATTGTGGTGCCTCAGGAAGGCCTATCTTTGTGATTCACAGCATTTTCTCTTACAATTTGTTGTGCTTCTTTGTTCTTGCAATTTCCCCTTGTCCCATGGATCTTCTTTCCTTGTAATTTCCCCCTTATCTCTGTCTTTCTGTATATATCTCTACCCATCCATCCATCTATATGAAATTCTGTTCATCTCCTCAGAATCTCCTATCATACTTTCTGCATTTTTCCTCCAAATATTATATTCTGCCTATCTCTTTTTCCTTCTTCTTGAGATGGCACTGAAGGCTCCCCTTAGAAAGTGCATCTACTGTGGGAGCAAACTGCCATCAACCAATGAACACTCCCTCTGCCATTTCTGCCTAGGAGAGGGACTTGTCATTGAGTCCCTCTTGTTGCCAGGCCTTCATGAAACAGCCCAAAGAAACAGGGCAGACTGCCTGAGAGTGGAACTCTGGAGTAAGGCACTGCTAGATTCCTCCAAGCCAGTAGAAAAGGAGGTCCCAGCTACTTAAAGGCTCCAGCCTCAAGTCAATCTGTGCTTACCTTGATTGTGGCTCTAACCATGGGCCAAACCATGCCACCAATGCCTGGATGCTCACTGAAAGTGTTCAAGACCTAGAAAATGGCAAAGAGGACCAAAGCAGCAAAATGGGTTGAGGCTGTTAAATTGTTAAGCAGCATTCAATGATCCGCCACTTCAGGCTGGCTCAGCAAGCCCTTTCAGTGCTGACCACATTCAGAGCTGACCAGATGGTACTGAGAAAAGAACCAGTCTCAGCAACCTTGAAATCAGAAGTCCAGGATACATTGCCTCAATTGCCATCCTCCTTCTGTAGCTTCAGAATCATGCTAAATTGATTTAGTATAAAAGCCCCCTATTAGCATACCACACTCTAGTGGGACACGATCTCGCCAGTCCCAGTGAAGTCTGTCCATGTCAAGACCTTAGAGAATGCTCTTGCTTTTCTCTCTGATTGAGGCAGGTGCTTGGAATGATCCACATCACCATTGTACCACTCATGGTGGCATTCTCAGGATCAAGATCCTTTTTGTGATTCTTGGTACCAATGAGAGCTCTGTCCTATTTTGGAGAGTTGGGAGTATGTCCACAGAAATCTACTCTCGGCCTGGGACATTTTAGGAACTGCCACTGTACTGTGCTACTGCCTGCACAATACCATTGCATTGGTCATAGTCTTCTATCCCTGTGCTCTCTAGATTGTGACCAGAATTTCCACCTTCTGAACTGGAGGACTACTGATTGGATATGGCTCTATCTCTCTCATCACTTGAAGCTGCTGTGGGATCCCAAAATCCAGCCTCTTCATCCAAAGATTTTGGCAATTTTTTGAATTAAATTCTCTAAATGGCCCAATCTCTGGGTCTGGACATGCAGCAGTCAACGAGAGACCTGGTTTTCAACATGGTCTATATGGAAGAGTGGACCCTGCTTGCTGAACCATTTCTGCCAACACTGTAGATTGTACAGCAGTTGTGGAAGTTGGCATTCTCCATGGCTCTGAGGTTCATATGGCTTGAGAATATGTACAGTGTGTTGGAAAAAGACATGAACTTCCTTTTCTAATATCCACAACTGAACTCAGTCATTGAGTCTGTTCAGAGAAGGTTCTGTTGAGAACATTCTATGCCAGTCAACAAAAAACCCATGGGGGAGGGACATCTATAAATCTTCCGCTTTGAGACTTTGGGTAGTAAATTACCAGGCAACCATAGCTTGATTCCAGTTCTTTCTTTCTTGGTACCAGAAAAAAAATCAGCTTCGTCCATGACCACCTGCCAGTGGTTTTACAAGGTGGAAGTTTCATGCTTCTCCCTCCAGCAGATTCACACAACCTGGCATCAAGCCAACTGCAGAGGCAAAACAGTCATTAAAGCATGTTGCTACACTCTGCTGGAGGACCTGTCATTCAGCAGGGAGAGGCTTCTTAATGGGAACATGACAAACCAATGTATTCAGTCTAGAGAGCTCAGATGACAGCTCAACATATGGGACTCAGTCAACAGCAGTTGTCATGAGTGTACAAAGTATCATGTAAGTGGTACCAGCTCAGTCAGCCTCCCTCTCCACTTTGGGTTTAGACAAACCACTTATCTCAACAACAGCCTGTATCCCATCCTGAATGCAGGATGCTACCCCAAGGTATGACAAGGTCATAGGTGCTCTGACACTGGGAGGTGTCAACTCTGATTATTTCCCTGAGCCTCTCTTCCTTCTCACATAGGGAACAAGCACATTGGGTGTCTGGGTCTTATCTACTGCGGAGTGGAAATATAGGATCAGTGCCCTCCCACACCTTGGCATCATAAGGAGTATGGTTCCATCTACTGTCTTGACTGTGGAGGTAGACTCACTTCCTTGCAGGGCACTATAGAGTGGGTCCCTCCTTTCCAAGTCCAAGATTGCTTCTACTCCAGATCCTGTAGGGTACCAAAGCAGGATGGAGGGCTGTGATTGTTTCACCCCTGTTGATTTGAAGGATGCATACTTCCACATTACACAGAGGACTCACACAGGGATTTCCTACACTTCCAGTTTTGTCATTAGGACTGTCCATAGCCCCAGGGGTCTTCACAAAAAGTATGGTGGTAGTCTCTGCCCACTTATGCCTGCGAGGTAACCAGTTCTATCCTAACTGAATGACCAGTTAATTGTGACCAATAATTGAGACTCACTTTACTACAGCAAAACGACTGGCCCTTTATCAGAAGAGTTGAAGCTTTCTACAAGCTCAAAGAAATCTTCTCTCCACACCTCTCAGTTGATCTATTTCACTGGGGCCCTTCTTGGCTGGCTCCAGTTCAACAGAGGCATATCTTCCAGATTCCAGAGTGTTGGTACTGAACAAAGCAGCCAAGAGACTGTGCAGACACACTGTTGTCACTGCTTTCCAGATCCAACAGCTCCTCAACTTCATGGGAGCAATGGTCATGTTAGCTGTCCCCTGCAGCTGTGGCTCATGTACACTTTCTATCCCACAGACAACCCTCAATGAATTTGACTCTGGATCCAAAAATCCATTTGGACAGACTTGAGTGGTAGACCTATCAATACAATCTCACTAACAGGATTCCTTTCATTCCCACAAGTCAACTTTCACAGTGACCACAGATGCCTCCCTGTCTGGAGGGGAAACACATTGTTGCTCTCTAAAGATCTGAGGGACATGGAACAATTTCAAAGTCTTCAAGCATAAATTAGCTGGGAATATTTGTAGTAAAGCAGGCCCTTTAGCTTTTCAAACATTCATCTTTTCTCACATGTCCATATTGCCACAGACAATAGCACTGTGGTTTTCTTTCTCAACAAGCAGAGGGGTATCCTGTCTGTTCTTCTAGCCCATCCAGCTGCTAGGAATTTTGCATGGTGTATCAACAGGGGCATCACTGTCACTGTGAACCTTGTTTGTTTATTCAACTTATATTCTGCAATAACTAGTCCAAAAACACTCTAAATGGATTACAACAATGTTGTTGGCACCAGCTTCACCTTGGATGACACTTTGGGCCACACATCTCTTGTATCCCATGAGTGACAACTCAACACCAGCATGCTGAGGAAGCTCTTCACAAAGGGGGAAAGCTCTTCAGATTCATCTTTTTGCCACTCAGGACAATGTGGAATACCCCCACTTCTGAGTGCAGACCAGAGTGGGCAGGAACTCTCTGGGAGATGCTTTTCTCCTAAACTGGCTGAGGACATTGTTCTGCTACAACATCATAACACCATGGTAGCTTATATGGATGTGGTTCACGCAACTGCTATGGACTTCTGACTGAACCTTCTTCCAAATCCCATTGAACCTGGACCTAATTTTTCAAGATGAGAGAAGAGTATTGCAGCATTGTGCCTGGATATATTTTCCCTGTGTCCCATGGCATGGAGGATCCTTTCCTAGATGCCAGGCTTACCAGTCTTCAGAAAGGACTACACTCAGTGCTGGATGTGGCACTGAAGCCTTTTAGTAATTGATTGTATGACACAAAATGGAAGGTTTTCTTCTACTTTGCATTATAAGGAGGCTTTGATCCATATTGATGCACATTAGAGCAAATTCTTCTCCTGGTTTGAGGACATTGTCCATCTGAGTCTACCTGGCAACTCATTAACAGAGACATTACTCTGGCCTGCCTTGGTGGTTCTGTGTGTATGGAAGTTTTTTCCTGTAAGAAATAGAACATCAGGCTCCTAAGCTGCAGTTTTAGGCAAGTTTAGATGGAAAAAAGGCCTATGATTCTCAGCATGCCCCAGACAGCTGTGTGGGGAATTATAGGCCCATTTTCTGTCTAAAGTAACATAGGATTGTGCTCCTAAGGTACTTTTTCCTCTACTTCTTTAATGTGCTGTAAGCTGTCAAGGAAGGCCTCAGCAGTTATAGGTGGCCTATAAATATGTGTATAAATAATACTATCTCACAATCAGCAAGATTGACAAAATATTCATAGAAAGTATTACTATACATGTCAGAGAAAATTGTATTTACAATCCTGCAAATATAATCCATTTTGCCTCTTGCTTGAAGTCTGTTATGGTCAATACTTTTATTTGACCTACTCTTGGATATCGCGGTTATCTCTTCTCAGCTTTGTGAGCTTAAGTGGACTCCAGGAGATGATGGAGGACAGGAAGTCCTGGAGGAATGTTGTCCAACGGGTCGTGATGAGTTGGTTGCGACTTCGCAACTAGCAGCAACAACTTCTCAGCTTAAATTGTACCTGTGCCTAAATCCTTCTGTTTTTTTGTCAACAGTCTCATTACAGGATATCAACATGAAAAAAGCCTTCAGAAGTTCTACAATACAGGACCAGCAGGTGGTTTCAAAGACCAGCATTCCCAATCCTATAGCTGATATTTATAATCGGAGTGACAAACCTCCTCCATTGAATATTCTTACTTCATATAGGTACAGTAACTTGACATGGACAAATTGTCCTGCTCTTTTCACTTTGTAGGATATAAGTTTTCCCCACTTACTTTTGCTGCCAGGTTGAATTGGAATATGTGAATTCATTTGGAGCATCAGAATTCTTAACATTTTATAACTATACATGTTAAAGCAAATTCATATGCTTGGTCAATGTAATAGTCAAATAGTATTTGAAGATGAGTGCCTATTCTGGGGAAGCCTATTTAATGACAGCTCAGAGGCAAGCTACATAGGATGTGGGAGTTCCATGGCCTGGAGTTCAGTTGCCCTTTTCTTGTTCCAGAAGCAGCAGTATGGGTCTTATTTGCATCAGGGCCATGGTGTACAGGGAAGTTAACCCTCCCCCAACAATATACAGTTTCCCTAATGTAAATTATTTAATTCTTTACTCATCCCATCCACTAGCTGTTATTAACTGTAGAATGGAAAACATATGGCTGCTATATGTGTGCCTGTATATTTTCAGAAATAAGAATGTAACTACTTCATGTTTAGTTAAGTTCCTTATCCATGGAAGTTTTAAAACTTGATGAAAACCGCTTGAATTCAGTCACAAAATGCCTTATCTACTTTCACACTCTTTTTCATTGTTGGATAATGATGACTAATCATTTGATTTTGGAATTTTACAGCTTTTGGTTATTATGTGAATAGGTTTCTAAAATTTACGAGCATTATTTTCTTGAGGGTCAGGTATTGTATGCACATAGCTTTCAAATCAGCAATGAAAGAGCCATCCTAGGCTAGTTCTGTTGACTGGTGTAAGGCAAACTTGGAGTACATATGAATGGATAGTAAGCCAGATACTGGTCCCTTTGGCAACATAGTTCCATGTTCAAATGATCTTGTTAGCCGAGATCCTTTTCCCTGGGGTTTATGGAGAGTGTATGTGGTGCTTCTTCATACAAAGTTAGAACTGTGCTATGGCTTCTCTAAGAATAATAAAATTCCATGTGTCATTAATTTTATATAAAATCGGTATATTAAGCAAGAGATGCTTGCATATTTTAAAGCACTGTTATAAGATTAGTTTCTGTCATGTCAACTGCTTCAGGAAGCCTCCTAGCACCTGCTTTCTCCCAGACAGGGTTTGCACAAGCTAGGGAAGTTTACATTGTATCCTTAGTGGAGCTGGATGTTAGTGAGTGCTGCTCATATGAGTTTGATTGTAGAAAAACAACAGATGCATTAATAGTAAAGAGCAAATGTAACAAGGATCTTTGGATCTGTTTATAATTAAAGACCCCAGTGACCAATGTTAAACAGCAGGCTTGGGTGCCCATTCATTATTGGCAAGGAATACTCTGCTGCTTGAAACAGTGCCATTGCTGGATAGATCTGCTCTAATTAATTGAGAGTAGGTTTGCTGGTAGGTTGGAGCCCTTCGTGCTAAATGCTATCCTAGCTTGTTCGCTAAGGTCAGTGTGTGTTAAATTACCCCGACATCCCCAATGTCTGTTCTATTTTGTTCACAGAGATGATAAAAAAGATGGATTAAAGTTCTATACTGATCCATCTTATTTCTTTGATCTCTGGAAAGAGAAAATGTTACAAGATACAGAAGACAAAAGAAAAGAGAAGAGACGACAAAAGGTAAATATAGGCAAACTTTTGAATGTACCTACATTTTTACCATGGAATAGGCAACCTTTTTGTGCCTTTGGTTACATTTGGCAATGTGAGAAATGGTCCTGGACAGCACCACAAAATGGCTACCATGGGAGGAATGACTGGTAACAAAAGACAAGTAATCTTCCCAGAACACTTGTGTACAAGCTAGGCATGCAGTCTGAGGCTCAACACACTAAACAACTTCTTTGAATCCATAGCTGGTAAGAAAATGCAATTTTAAAAAATGAAAAAAATAAAAGCAAGAGGGGCAAGACACCTTGGGGTACAAGGAAGGGTGTCTTGTGTGGGAGATGTGACAGTGCCTATGGATATCATGTAGCTAAAAAACCAGGGATAGGCAACAATTTGGAATAAAAAGCCTATTTAAATAATCTTTCCCATCTTACTCAGAACAATCGAAATAGATGCCTGCCCTTCAATTATCAAGGATCTTACTAGTTGTACTGCCAGGACCAGGGATTGATTGTTTCTACCTCAGTGGTAAGACATTCAACCCTTAATAGATGCTCATCACCTTTTAGCAAATCACACAGCTGGAAACATGCTGGGGTCTGCAGTTCAGGATGATAAAGAATGCCCTTCATGCTGTGGCCCTCAGGAGCAGTTCAGGTTTCCAGTTTCTGACTGGGATCAACATTTAGATTGTTTGATGCCTCCCAGATGATCCTACTACTCTTGGGGTGTTCAGAATGCTTGGAGGGAATGAAAGTTATGCTATGAATTTATACACTGTTTGTACACCAGTTCTCCAAGACATCACTTTTCCCATTTGACAGTGGTCCTATGCCTTGGCATCTTCTTACCACCTTTTCTGCCATGAAAAGTGCAACTGCTGGTGTTTGTTTCACAAGTGCTGCTGATGCAGGCTCCAAGGCACTTCAGTCGGTCCCATTTGCTGGAACTATCTGCTGCTTTGTCACCCTTACCCATATCATTACAGGACAAAATGTCACCATGTTCCACTGAGGAGGGTGAAAATTATCATTCCAAATCAATGTTGCCTTTCCCCATGGAACCTTTCATCTTCTATATGGCTGTTGGTTCTCAAGATCTTGTCTTGTAGAATGTAGCTCATAGGCCACTTCTCTGACCCAGGTACACTGTATGGCTCAATGCTTGGGCCTGGAGACCCAGCAACCATTACTGAAATCCAATTATTAATTTAATTTGTATAGAAGCAGCTGTACAATTGCTAAAACCTTTCTACCAACATCACTTCAAACTGTACAGAACTCTGGGAAGGCTCCAGTTTCTGTTACTCAAGACACTTGGACATTGGAGTATCTGTACAAATACTAGGATCTACTGTATAGTATCTGTTATTTCATCCACAGCTTGATTTGATTATAGTGGAGTGATTTCAAGGCTCCTTGAATAAATTCCACTATTCCCCATGCATAAAAAGCTTATAGGAAGGCATGTATATGCAACTGTGGCCCTAGGTTTCAAAATTTCAGACTGTCATACTGCACTATCTTCTTACCACCTTTTCTTAGGGCAGAGATTGTGTTACTTATTTGCCAGGCAACAAGAGCACATGTTTTTCAGTAAAACACTCTTGACTTTCAAGGCAGCACTTAAATAAATCCCGCCATCAAGTGAATTGTGATGCAAAGATATTGGTTGGGGCTGTTCTTTGTACACATGTGTGGCTGTGGTCTACAGGATTTTTCCAGAAAGATTTTTCCCTTGGTGATGAGAGACTTTTCAGTGCTGGAACGGACAATATAATACTTTTGGTACAGAAGGCGCAAGCCATGGTCCAAAAGATGAGCCATAACTAGCCAATAGTAGCAGTGCTTCCATGCAGGTAGCAAAGAAATCAATAATTCAACTATTCAGCACCCTCTGTAGCAAAGCAAAAATTATCAGGCCTTTCAGTCATATAGTTTTCAATGGGAGTAGTGTCTTTGACCTCCCCATTCTGCTTTGTTCCTTCTTATGTCTGCCCACTTTGGAACTTGTCTGTCCCTTTCCATCAAGAATGAATAAACATAACATAAGGTGCATGGATCCTAGCAGTTATTTAGAAGGTCTGTTGGGTTCAACATTGCCCTTCCTTTCACAGGTATCTTGTCTATGGCTTTGTCGGAGGTGGTGCAGTTGGAAGTGGACACATTTTCACAAAACAATACTATTCAGTTATTCCTGACTTGTATAAAGATGCTTCTTTTTTCAAAGTTTCACCATACCCCAAAAAGATGTAGGGCTTTTGTCTGATCTTGGATCTTTGAGATTTCAACTCAATTCTCACCCCTGAAGGAGTTTAGGGGTGAGATGACATTGAGCTCTGTATGGCCTCTTCTTAGCAAAGATACTGTTTTGTAGTTATTGACTCTCAAGAATGCTTAATTTCACAGTACCAGCATTACCATTGGTTCATGGTTGGTGCTGACACTTACCCAAAAAAGTGTTCATTTTTGGGTTGGCAACGGCTCCTGGGTATTTACAAAATGATTTTCTGGGTTTGTGCTCGCATATGGCTCTGGGACATACAAATTCACCATTATCTCAACATTTGGCTGCTTGTTGCCTCTACAAAGAATAGATGTCATTGTCAGCTTTGACTTCCTGCAAGCTCTGGATCTTTATGCCAGCAACAAAAGAACTATTGCAGAGGTCATTAGCAAAAGGCACCCATCTAAATGGGCAGCCTAATGAGAGAGAGAAAATACCACTAATGCCAAGAAGTTTGTTCTAAAATGAATATCTTGCTTGCTTTCTCAACCAAATGGAGTTTACCTGTACAGAGGTTCCTGCTGCTTGTGGTCCAAATGGTAGGAACATCAGACATTACTCATTTAACCAGCCCACTTGAGCTGGCATCAGATGCTGGAACTTACTAAATTATGTTTCTTCATCTCAAGCCTTGCCTCTAGTTCTCACTATATGCTTATCTCATTTTGAGGCTTCCTAGCCATGGCATTTCATCTAAGAATTCCAACCCATCCTCTTCTTCCAGTGCCAGCTCAGAGTCTGAAATAACCACCTTGGAATGCTGTATTTTGGGAGAAGAGAGCCCAGTCCCCATACCCTTGCACTGGTGTGCAGCACACTGCGGCTATGTTGGATGCAGCCTCTGGATGCAAATATCTTCCATGAGACATGTTTGTGAGGCTACTTCCCTATGCTGTATAATTTATAGCAGGTATGTGTTCACAGTGTTTGCAGTGTAGCAGCTTCTAGGACTAACAGCACCATTATAGCAGGTGCTCCATTTGCTCATCAATGACTTTGACCCCTGCAGAATTGCTTTCTTTGAAACTTCCACCCCAGTCAGGATGCACAACTTAAAATCTTCTGACATACAGCCAGAGATCTTATTTCTTTCAATGCAGAATGAATGTTTGCCATCTTTGAACTGGCATGCCATTTCTTCAACTACCCCTGTCCAGGATCCTGATAATGGACAGTGTGCCTTCTGTAGCCACTTGAGAGTTCATGGTGCCTGATCTCCAATCGACAGCCCTCATCAATTATTTGGAATTTCTGTCAGTATGAAAGTCTTTACATGAGTATAAACTCAATATCCAGGGCCACCACATACAAGTGGTGACAGTGTGACTGTGGTCTATAACCTGAACAAGCAAGGCAGCATGCATTCTCTTTAGCTTACAACACTGACACCATATAACATTGTGCATAACTTGGGACATTGGCTTAATTGGCAGTTATATATCAGGCAAGGTCATCTTAGCAGACCTGCTCATCAGATCTACTAATACTTTGCATGAGTGGAATCTTGATTTGGAGATGCCACAGTCTTTCATCCAGATATGGGGCATGCCAGCTGTGCATCTGTTTGCAGCACTAATGAACAAAAGCTGTGTTCAGTTGTGCAGCAGAATTGGAGTGGGTCAGGGCATGTCCAAAGTACTTTCCTGTTCAAGTGGATTCAAAGGCTCTTCCATCTCTTTCCCACTTTTTCTAGGGCCCCAGCAAAGATTCAGGAATCTAAGCTGTATTTTAATAACTCCCTGGTGACCAGGACATTTATTGTTTGCCTATATCCCAGAGCAGCCACATTTACCTCGTAATTTTGCAACATCTATTCACTTGGGATTGATTCTGTGTTCATCATCTGAACCTGGACATTCTTGGCCTGTCAACCTGGAGATTATGCTAAATGCTGATTACCACATGGGTTTTCTTTGTTGATATAGGTAGGTTTGAATGGGGCCTGGAAACCCTCCACAAAACTGATATGCACATAAGTGCAAGAAGTTTTCATCTTGTTCAGTTTTGCAGTTTTGATCCTTCTTGCTCAGTGCAGCATATTCTTGAGTTCTTCCAAGAGGGTTAAAAGTTTCCTTGTTGCACATCTATTTAACAGTTACATTTGTGTACTGAAGACACACAGTTGGTCTATTTTTTCACATCTACTAAGTTCATCTGAGGCTCAACTTGGTGTCCCTCCTTTGGCAAAGATGGTGGTTCTTAAGTAGAGCATACTGGGGATTCTTCAGGCTGTATTGTTGAAACTCTTTCAAGGTTTAGTGACAGTTGATCTTCATCTTCCTCTTCTGGAAATTAAGTTTATCTGCTCACCAAACCAGTTAGATTTGTGTTTCAAGAACTGGTTTGACCTATAAGGCCTTTGTCCTAATATTATCTCCCCAGTGTAGTGTTGGAATTCCATGTTAACCAAAACATTGTTTTTCCTGTTTTTTCCCCATCACTAACCATCACCACCTTTGGAATCTACATTTTACATGCTTAACATTCAGTAGGTGTTACCCTTTTTAAGGTGAGGACAGATCCATTTTGACAATCACAGCCTTTTGTTTTCTTTGGAGGAAAGAAAACTGGTTTTTCAGTATCTTGGCAGTGTTTTGCTTCTTGGGTGGTTGGGTCCATAGTCTTGGTGAACCAACTTGTTGGAAGTGTTGGCCATGACTATGCAGAGCTGCATTCAACCAGGACTGCTGCTGTTTGCAAGAGGAGTGCCTCTCCTGTGAAGGACCGTGCTGTGAAGTGGTTGTGACCATCGACTTTGGTTCAGCACTATCAAATATCAGCAGGATATTTGGGGCCAAAGTGAGTTTGCTTTTGGGTTGGTAGTGTTTTTTTTTCCTGATAAGAAACACATTAACCTGCCACCTGATAAGCCAGCCTCTTACCTACCCATGTGTGATGTAAAGAGACCACAAAGAAGAAAAACAAGTTGTTTACATGTAACTTGGCTCTTCCCATGGTCATTTGTGCATACATACAACTCATCCACCATCCCCACTTTAATGTTGAATTGCATGTTATATGGTGATTCCAGGGTACAATACAACGTCAGTGTCTGTAACTGTATTGACATTGATATCAGGGTTTTCTCTTAGTTTTGAGGCCTTGCTAAGAAGTCTCAAAGAAACTGAGGGCATAGGTAGGAACATACATACTAAGATTTTGAGAGAGGATTCTTGGCAAAAACACCTCGAGTGTAGAAGGTTCCCTGATAGAGCTCCACGTAGGCAGAGAACCCACATGTGTGAATATTTAGTTGACCACTTGAAGAGGCGCAGTTACAAGTAAGCAACCTGTCCTTTCAGAAAATTAATACCTCTTTGAAAAATAGCTTAAATCCATATAAAATTTAACATTTTTTTTAGCATTAAAGAGTTTTCAGCAGATCACTTCCATTATAAAATGCACATTGAATTGATTCATCACATTCTGAGAATTCAGTCCACGTCCTTTTATAGACAGATTTAAGTGAGTAGTTGTATCATAGATGAATATTTATAATGTACCAATTTTGAGAATGACTGTGTTTGCTGTCTTTAAGTGTGAGTGCATATAAAGTTAATTCATGAAGAATGGTCACCTGAATTCCCCTTATTCTGATTATAAAATAGTAGTCAAAAATATCAGGCATTTTTAATGGAAACTTCTTGTATGTACAATATGAGCAGAATCACACTGAACTTCTAAAAGTAAATAGGAATGCATAAATGTTTTCATGGACTGAAAAACTGTAGACTTTTATTTCTGTATTTATTTGAAATGCACTTTTCAAGTCTATTCACATTTCTGAATCAAGTAAATGTAGTGATTGGCATTTCAAAGTTTGGAACATAATGTGTGTTTGGGATATCAGCAAAACCACTGCAAAGAAGTACCTTCAGCTACCAATACACTCAGACAAGATATGTTGATAAGTGATATCAAGAGGCTGATAGAGGGCCTAAAGGAATTGCATCATGCTTCCCCCATGTCTCACTTTACGTAGGTTATCTACAGGGCAACCAAGGTAGATTCAAGTACTGAAACCAACCCGAAACCAGATTAATCCGGTCTGGCTGCCCAAACATACCTAGAAGTGCAATCCTTGTGCAAGAGAAAAAACTGAAGAGACATGTTTAATATTTGTTAGAAACTATGGGTAACCAAACCATACATTTTGATGTTTTTTCTTTATTAGATTTCTCGAAAGCTAATGAACCTAACCATCTCTGCCCACAGCGCATTTAATTATCACAATGAGTCATATGTTCAGGCCTTTTCTTGTGAGTAATTTCTGGTGAGTTAGCATGCATTGAGAGCCAACTTTGGTGTGGAAGCACCATTTTGAGCAGCAAGACATGATTCTTGATTCAAAGACTTAAGATTAGGGAATTCTGTATTGTTAGCAGTCAGAGGGACTGTGCATTCTGGTGTTGGACTGGTTCTTATAACAAATCATGGAGCCATTTCCTGTGCTTGAGAAACTTTTGTAAATTTAGAGCATTTTATTTTATTTTATTTTATTTTTTATTTTATTTTATTTTATTTGGCTTTTAAAAACAACTGGCAAAATCAATTTCTAATCCAAGGGTAATTGACATTGCTTTGAATCAGTGTCCATAATACCTGACCATTTACCATGCAGGCTGGGACCAATGGGAGTATAATCTGGAGGAGGGTACCAGGTTCCCTACTCTAGTCTAATTAGATGAACATGCAAAACAATTGATAGCCAATAACAAAAGCAGAAAAGGTGCCTCTATTGCAAGAGGAGCAACAAAGAGGAAATTACTGTGAGTTTCAAAATGAATGCATGTTTGAGGAATTAGTTTGCACAGAAACTTGCTCCTCATCAGGAAAAGCTCAGATCAGATCAGCTTGTAGATAGGTTTGTACAGGCTCCCAGCTTGTGATGGCAAAATATTTTCATGTCACTTTTTGTAATTCATTCTGCCACTTTTGATTTGCTTGTATGACTTAGAGATTATCAAAATTATCTGATTGGATTCTTTAAAGCAAGCTCTGCAAACCACAACATTAGCTGCAATTTCTAATGTTGTAGGGAAAAAAAATGTAATATCAGGTTTGCTGAATATTAAAGCACTGCTGATACTTGTCAAATAAATAGATGTGAAATCTTTCACAATAACCTGATGTCTGTCAGATGAATAACCTTCCGTGAGTGTATGCTTTTGTAATTTTGCTTGGCTTACCTACATATCTACTTATTTTCATACTCTTAATAGCATTTAACTTGCTCTTTCCTTCCTTGTCTCTCTCTTGCGCATGTTTCTTCTCTTTCTGTAACATTAGGAGCAAAAGCGTATAGATGGCACAGCTCGCGAGGTGAAAAAGGTTAGAAAAGCAAGGAACAGGCGCCAGGAGTGGAATATGATGGCATATGATAAAGAGCTTAGACCAGACAACAGGTTGTCTCAAAATCTATACCACGGAGCATCATCCGAGGGATCTCTGTCCCCTGATACTAGGTCTGTTCACAGCAAGACTTTTTGTTCTGTTGTATGTTCAGATATGCTTAGTAGCCTTACATTTATTATGGATTAAGAGAGCAACTGAAGAACTACAACAAAACATGAATGTTTGAAAGTATTTTTTTTAAATGTTAATTTCATTTGCTTAGGATGTTAACTATTTCTTTTCTAGTATAGAATATTACTGCATATTTTATAGTATTGACAGTTCACTACATGTGTTTTCACTGGTTAATTGACCACAGACTATTTTAAAATGTTTTTTTTTTTTTTGAGAGAGAAATTAAAAACCTTCCTGGTGCTTAATAGAACACTAATCCTTAATATGCAAGGAGAGATACGATTTTAATGTCAGTACACTGTTGTGAATAATTTCTTATAATCTATGTTGAACTCGTTTTCAGATGGGAGCAGCAGAACCAGAAGCATTGCTTTTGTTTATAAATGGTTTTGAACAACAAGAAAAGTCTTCCAAATATGCACAGCAGGCCTTGCCATTGGTATTCCTTGTGTTCTGTTCCCTTTGAGCTAAGTAGGAGGTCTGTTCCAAATTGATTGGCCAAGCTGCCTGTACAGGTTTTTGTTTTCATATTTGTTCTGCAAGTTAATTGGAAGAAAGGAACAAACACAACAAATAATGGAACGTGGCATTATTTCACACTTCCATTAACATCTGTTATGCCTTGCTTATGCCTTCTTGGTAATAATTTTGAAGCCCAGACCATTAAGCCAAAAAATTATTTCAGGAAAGTCAACAAGCTGACTACTAGCAAAGCTAAGTTTTAAAGGGCATTACTGCTATCTAGTATTTCTAGAGTTTTTTTAAGGTTTTTTTTCTGCACTTGAAAAAGATTATTAAATTACACTGTTTGACTTTTCTCCCCATGTTAAAATACTCTTCTGGTATGTAAACAGATTGTATTTCTGGAGAATATTGATATAAAAAATCCCGGTCACTTACCTATGAAATTTTGCCTCTCTGCAGCTGAGTGAGACCTATTTCTCCACCACCATCCTGCCAACTGTTAACTGGGCTAATTAACTTTTTTTAGGTCCGCTGGCTTTCTTTGACTGACCGACTTTATTTAATTCCCATTCTATCTTTTTTTTTTTTTTTGAAGCATGAAAAGCATGCCTCATTCTGCTGTGAATATATTGTAATTAAAAGTATTGTAAGACAACTGTTGAATTAAAATATACACACACAAGTTCACAATTTCTTGTTATAGCTTTAGTACACAGGTTAAGCATGTAAAATAAATATTGATTAGCTAGCATTTCCATATCATTTAACTATCAGCATCTGAAATTCTTTTTCCAAAATGTGGAATCCTATGTACAATCCATTTATACCATGCCCATTGTGATTCAGAGAGAGAGACACAAGCTGAATCCAAGCCGGCAGCAGCAAATTAATGTGAGGAAAGTAAGAACAAGAAAAGAAGAATGGGAAAGAAGAAAAATGGGCATTGAGTTCATAAGTGACATAAAGAAACAAGAGCAGGCAGGAAGCACAAAAGAGGCCAGGATGCCCAAAGGGTTTGTCAATTTGTTTTACTTAAAGCTCTGGGGCTCTGTTGCTTGCACAGCTTCCTATCTGAATAATTTGATGACCACCAATTTTAATGACACCCTCTTTTAACAAAAAGACAATATGATACAACTTGTCTTACTAATTCAGCTTTTTGCAGCCCAGAGATGTGAACTGATCATCAGTTGTTCTTAATTGTCATATGCTAAAACATTTCCAGCTTTATAAATTCTGTGTTCTGCTAATAAGTAACTTTTTCTGCTTCTTTCATCCAGATACTTTTTGCAGATAGCAGGAATTTCTGAAAAAGTGAAGTCCTCGAGTTGTAGTTTTTCATTAAAAAATAATCTATTTTTCTCAGTCTATAATTTTGCTTTCATCTTCTGCTTTTCTTGTTAATGTTGCTGCTTCCTTTTTCCCTTATACTAATATCCTATTGTGTATGAAAGGATATATGCCTTGTAGTTTTAAGGTTTTGTGTATTAGAAAACCAATCAATTTGAAAATATAACTTTTGTGAGCTGCATTTAATGTCTGCATTAATAATACCATATTGTGATACACTAACTAATTAAAAATTGGAAAATTTTAAATAGGGAATCTCTTATCAAGACAGAGTAGAACTAATGCATTTCATTCCCAACTCTCTTTTTTCTTATTTGCATATTAGATCTCATGCTTCAGATGTTACCGCTTACTCATATCCTGCGACTCCAAATCATTCCCATCAGCAGCCAATGATGCCTTCATATGGAGCAGGAGATGTCCCTCAGTACATACTTGCAAGTCAGGGCCACGAACATGAATATAGGCCACCTTCTACAACAGTGCGGCATGCTACTTTGAACAGACCGCAGCAACCACCCCCACCCCCACCCCAAGCTTTAGACGGACCCTTTGGCACTGTAGCACGGGTACCAGCTGATTATGGGTAAAATTCTTGCTTTATTATTATTTGGTAAAGTCTGCAGTCATGTGCATGTGTAGACTGAAGTGAGTCCCACAACTCCCAGCATTTCTTAGCCAACATGACTGTCTAGGGAATGCTGAGAATTTTTAGACTTTTTTCTGTCTAAACATGCACAAGATTGTGGTCTAAAATGCTTCTAACCTGCTTTCAACCAAAAAAAGTTCTCAGAACAGCTGACATGAGATAAATTACAAGTCAGTCTAAAAGACACTACATAAATAAAAAGAGGCATGGAAATTAAGATGTAATCTGCAATGGAGTCAAATGAGCTTGAGTTTTTGTAAATCTGACCTATGGATTCAGCAAGGGACTGGCTTTTTTTGAGTCATGCAGATTGTGTGGACTGGTTTTTTACTTTGGAGATGGGTGGGTTTACACAAATTTCTCATGAACACCTAAAAAAGACCAGTTCCACAAACACAAGATACCTGACAGGAGGAATGAATTTAATCCATGCATTGTCAGAGAGAACATAACCTAAGTTCCTAAGTTTCAGTGGTGGGTATAAGTGTTGAATAATAGAATACTAGTATAAACAAGGCTTACATGCTTGCATAAAACATCACAGCAAAGTAGGTAAGGATGAGTAGCTGTCTTCTAGTGATATATTTAAGAGATTGTTTTAAAAATGGATGTGGGAAAAGGTGTTGTTTAGATTGAAACTTGGAAAACATGTATATCTGAAGAAGAGATGATTGGAAAAGTCTTGAGGTATATAATAAAGCACTGTATTATATCCTTGCCAAAAAGGTGAAGAAAAGCAGTGTTTTTAATGTCATTAAGCTTATAAACAAACAGAGCATATATTAATGGGCACATACTGCAAACCTGCTAGCCCATACTTTGGTTAACAACTATTGTGTTCTATTTTGTATATAGGATGCTTGCAGCTCAGATGGTGGATTATTTCAATCCTTCAGGACCCCCGCCGCCTCCCCCTCCACCCATGATTCCTTCTGCACAGACTGCTTTTGTTAGTCCTCTCCAAATCCCTGTGCTACCTTCCCATCCTGGACTAGTGACTGGATCTATGTATTCTGCTGCACTTCATCCTCCTTCTACTGGGCTTGTTGTTACAGCTCCCCCTCCTCCAGGCCCGCCTCCTCCCCCTCCAGGCCCTCCTGCTGCAGGATCCTCTCTCTCCTCCTCTCCGATGCATGCTCCTGCAGTGGCTGAGACAAAACGACATGAGCCCCCCCAGTCGCCCATCAGTGATGCTCGAAGTGATCTTCTGGCTGCTATTCGGATGGGTAAGGACACACAATGGATTCTCTGACCTTGCATGTGGTCTTAAACATCCTAGCAGTGAGGGTTTTCTGCACCTATGTATAATTCAAATGATTAATTTCTAAGTAGGCTAATCTTGATTAAAAAATAGGTAATGGACAAGTTCTCATTTCACCCTAACACACCCTGTGAATAAGCTGGGGTGGTTTGGTTGTTTCCAAAACAACCCATGGTGTACCCAACAGATGTAAGCTGGCTTGTTCACCCACAGCTCCCCCTTTGTTCTCCTTTGAGTATACTGGAGCCTCTGCAGCAGCACCGACTTGTTTCCCCCTGTACACAATCTGTGCACCAGCCCTATTTTGCTCACTGTAGCTTTCCCCCACTTTAACCTACCTCATCCCAGGGGAATTATAGTCTCTATTTTGACAGTCAGTTTTCTCAGAAGGATGTCTCATGGGCTAACTTTTGTGAGTAATACAACCATGTACCTCAGCTACACCAAGTGTCATGTGGTGGTAAATAATCCAACCCCTGAGAAAGCTGGCAGCTTGGATAAAGGAGCTTAACCAGGAGGCTCAGCCAGAAGGCCTTAAGGAATTACATTGGTGGTGCCACTTACACCTCCTTTGCAACAAGATTTCCTTCCGTCCTTCCAATCCTGACTGTTCTCAGGGTCTTATGTACTTTCTGCTTTCCTCTGAGATGCTAGCAGCTTGGGAAAGTACCCCCCACCCCCTTTTGGGGAGGAAAGGAGTTCTGACAGCTAACTGCCAAAACTCAAGCAACCTTTTAAGTTTAAAGGGTTTTTTGTTTTTTTTTTAAATGATTTTTTTAAACAGGGACATATGCTTCCCTTGTAGAAATGATTAAAATAATTTGCCAACCATTTACAGCCCCTCGAATGTGTTGCTTAGACATGCTAAAAGGATTATCAGGCTCTGAAAAGGGAGATTGTGAAAACAGGTGGTTTTGTAATCATTGAAAAAATCTTGTCTGTTTTCATGCTTTTTTCTTGTAGGTTGAGGGGGAAGGTTAAATGTGTGGGGAAGCTGCAGCAAGTACAGAGGGCTTGCAGTCACTGTGGGAAACAGTTGCCACTTGAGCACATTTGGGCTCGCTGGTAGCAAACCGTGGACTGGATGAGTTTGGCAAAAGCAGCAAGGGTTTTTTTTTGTTTTTTGTTTTTGCTGCTCTTGCTAAATGGCTTGCTAGATGCTTTTTGGTATCCGTGATGGGTTTGGAGAACATGGCAGCAGATCTTAGGAAAAAATCCCAAGAACAATCCCTGAGCATGCCACCCTGTGGGGAACAGTCCAGCTTTGCATGACACAGTGGTCCACCCGGGCTTATGATCCACAAAATATTGTAATGTCGTTTGAATCAAGTCACTGACTTGTCAGGCATTGTGGTTAGATTTATGGCTTTCTGATTTCCTGATATGCAGCAGTGAGCCACATTTAATTCTTGCATTTGAGGTTCTTGCATTTGACAGCTGTCACATGAGAGATAAAGCAACAAATTGAGCTATTTGTAGCCTTGCTTTGCTAATGTCCATGGATAGTTCCCCCTTTAATTTTTCAGGAGAAAATATCCTGGCATTGACAACTCAAGCCTGCGTGTTTGGGATAATCAAAGTTGTGCAGTTGCAGAATGCCAAGCTGCCAGCAGAAGTGGTGGTGTGCTTGGTTTTGTTTTGGGTGCTCAAATCTTGGGTACCAAAAACAGTGGTGAACTAGGGATAGTCACTCCAGTGTGCTGCGTGCTCATTTGAAAGGCTCTCACTTTGGAGATTTCAAAAAGCAATTGCCAGAAAGAGAGAGATGGCGTGTGAGAGTGAGTAAGCCATGGCAACCACAAAAGGAATTATGGTTAGTTGAGAGAAAAAGCTAGTGACTGTTGGTCCAAGGTGCTACTTGGGCACTTAATGGTGTGACTAACACTGAAGCCCAGGTGACCTCAGCAACAGTGGTGCAGAGGTGATGCCACTCTTGTCAAGCAGCTCATTCACTCCTAAACCCATCACTATGGGGCTGGTCACCTGGACTTGGATGAGATGGCAACCCATTGTAAGTACACCAATCCCTAGAACAAACCATGAGTTCTTAGGGTGGTTTGTTGCCCATAAATAAGCCACCTTGCAGGATGTATTTTGGGTTTATATAGCATGACAACCTACTGGGGCTACTTGGTTGCCATGTCGTGGAAAATCTCTCTCTCCCCCCTCCCCCTCTCATGCTCAGTGTCCCATTTCTCTTATGAGTGAATTCCTCAGTTGCATTGAAACTGCCAGTGGCCTGTAAATAAGCCAGACAATTAACAAGGCAATATGACTTGGAATTGCTGAGCCCTTGGAATTTCTTATTTATTAAGACTGTGTAGATATATTAAGGAAGCAGTCTGTAAATTCTAATTGTAAAAAAACAAATTCAGATTTGTTTTCATTAGCTTTTGAATTCTATGTACTTGCAAGCTTGCTATTTCTTTTAAAAAACTTGACCTTAGGATAATCCATCTCTTCACTTCAGGAATCCAGTTGAAAAAAGTACAAGAGCAGCGTGAACAGGAAGCTAAGCGTGAGCCAGTTGGAAATGATGTGGCCACAATTCTTTCTAGGCGTATTGCTGTGGAGTATAGCGACTCGGATGATGATTCAGAATGTGAAGAAAATGACTGGTCAGACTGAGAATTGGAGAACACAGTACCAAAGGATTCTATGAATTTCTTAAGGAAATCATTGATGATGTTTGAGCTGTAATGTATGTTGGAATAAACACATTGGGTGATATTCAGGATTTAGCAAATTTTACTTAGACTATGTTTATGTAGATGCAAACTCTATTTAATTTTCAGTATTTACTGCATAATACAGAAGTGCCATTCAATGTAGCAAATCTTGTTCTGACTCAAGACAGGTTTTTTTTAACCATGAACATGTGTAACTTTTTAGATTCCTTGAATATTATCAACAGTTTCCCTTGGTACCTTGAAACTAGTGTAGCTGTTGGAGGTTCATTGAACAGCTTTGGAGTACAACGCATCTTGGATATTAGTTGTACTTCATAGCAGAGCAATATCCTCGGGTGAGGATTTTGCAGTTTTGGCCCTAAAATGCATAAAATTGGTAGCAGAAAAACATTTTAGCTTTTATTTTTAAAGCCCTATTCTTTCTTGTATGTATAGCATGAATGATATTCAGGGCCTTGGAACTATAGATAATAATTGAGAAGTTATTGAACAATAACTTTAAATATTAGAGTTTAAATATTAGAATGATTAATTTTCTGCCCTTTTTCTTTTTTCTTTTATTTACTTTTTATAATTTTGTAAAATCTAATTTACATCAGGCATACTGAAGCCCATGGTTAAATAAATGTTATAATTTTATTTTTTGGAACAGTTGAGCTCAAAAGGTATGCTCACTTTAATACTCTGCCAGTCCCTTGTTTGTTTTATGCTTGACTGGAACAATTTCTGGTGCTGACATCCAAATACACATTCAAAGATTAAACTATGTTCAAACTCAGATGGTTAATATGGATAGTTCTGTTATTATGTATGGTTTACAATGCTGCATATATTATATGTGGATAGAGACAGAATGTCTTTGACTATCTTAAAGGTGCACTTGCCTTGTGATATATTATGGCATGTTCATTTAAAAAGTTGCAATCCACATTCTGTGAATAGCATATACTATGTTTCATTTTTAAAGGCTACCTTCATATTTTCTTACAATGAATCTGCAGTTGCTCAGAGAAACTGCACAGATCTGTTTATGGAAGAAGTGACAGAACTTGTGATTTTGCCTCTGAAGAAGAAAAAGTATTCTCTGATCATGTTCTCTTTGAACTCTCATTTCTTCAATTTCTTGGTGCTTCCAAGTTAAAAGGCGTTTGCATTTTATTTGATGTTTTTGTCCAAAGGGGACTGCTATTCATTTTGTCTTGTATACTGCATGATCGGCTATGCAATGGCCACGGTGGTTAAACATGACTTTGATATAGAGCATTGTCATTATTTTTGACCACAGAAATAGGGAACAGGAGGCATCTCACAATAGCCTATCTAAGATATTTTACTGTTCCAAGCAAGATTATTTATTTCTCTCTTTTTCCCATCTCATACTCTACCTAAAATACTATCACATAAACTGTAATGCAATACAATTCTAAATTAAGCTGTTATTAAATTGCATTTACTATACAAAAGGAAACATAAATGCACAAGGGGCATTCAGTCAGAGACTCAGAATAGGGATATCCTTATAGTTCTTATTTTAAGATATGCATAGCCTGGCATTCATTAACAACAATCATGGACTTTGTGCACTTACAAACTAGCAGAAGGATCAAAATGATTTAAACTAGGGCTAGGACTCTGCTCCAAAATCGTTCTTTTTCCAGTTCCAGTATTCTGTCCTGGAATATGAAACAAGAATAAAATATACCTGAGTAGATGCAGAATGACTTTCCTCATTACTGAGTAAATAAAGAGAATCTTGAGCATGGGCATCACTTACTCATGTTTCTTAATTTGTAAGCAATGATACTGGAGAAAAGGTTCCCCTGAATGGTCTGGGAACCATACGCTGATCAGACCTTTCAAAAGAATTCATAAGGTATAGAGCTACCAAATCTAAGAACAAACATAATTTTAAAAAAAGTTTATTCTCAACTGGAAGGCAAAATACTTCAGCTTTGTGCAATGCTTTTTCATCTTGTGGAACTCACAACTGATTTTTTAAAAATTTATATCATATGTGATATTTAATTTGCTTATAGTGGAGAATATGTACAGCCTATGCAGAGATTGAACAGAAAAAATGAAAAATATAGGAAGATGCATATATTCAGGGTCAACTCCAGGTTTTAATGGGCCTTGGGCAACTGAGTATCAGTTGCCTGCCTTAAGCGCTGCCCTCTCCTCCTCCTGTACTAGTGTGGATAATGTTTATATCCTTCAGATTAAAGAGCTACTGTGGATCCACTAGATCTGGAAGAGCCTAGTGTAACTGGCTGAATACCTAGGTGACTGTGGGTGGGAGATTAATAGGAAAGCATTACCTGATTAAGAAAGAGAATTGCAAAAGTAACATTTCTGTCTTAACTTAAATGGCACATCAGACTCTGCATATGCCATGCAAAAATCCCATGCCATTCAGGAACTGCTGCATTTGTGTAGATCTGTACCAAGATTGTTTCTGTGTGTCTTCTTCCAAGGCACTGACAGAAAGCTAATAAGTCTTTCTTTGCAATGCCTGCATCTAATTAGCTTAGTGATTGTGCCCTCCCCGCCCCAAAAATGTGGTGCTCATAAGTAGCTTTTTGGACCTGGACTTGCTTTCACCACTAAATGAGATCATTATTTGCTGTGAGTGTGTGCAAGTTTTTAAACTACAATTGCCCATTGGGCATTTTAATTCTAATGCTGAAATTGAGTTACTTTGCCCAACAAGTTCTTTTTAGGTTGGACGCTTGTAGCAACTTTCTATACAGAATTGGACAGCATCAAAATTTAACAATTTGTGCATTTTGAATTTTAATTGTGCTAGTGTAATAGCACATAGTAGTTTTCATCAGTTTTCAACTCTTAAGAGTTTGAGACATGCTATATTATGTAGCACCAATATAAAGCAGAGCACAGTCTCTTAACTCTTGAAGTAACTCAACACCGCTTGGATCTACTGTATTCAAGAATTTACTTTAAACTGTGGAGATCAACTGCTCTTGACTTGTGTGTGGTACTGAAGGGAATCATGTACATTTCTACTCAGAAAAGGAGATGGATCTTCATTAGCACTCAGGATGGGCCCTCATCTGTATGGCTGTGAATTCTACTGCATTATCAGAATTTTGCAGTGGAACGAGTTAATCTGAGCTCTGTTCCTGATCAGTGTACTGGACTCGGAATATGAATTGTGTTTGGCATTGATCACTTCTGTTTCCTCTAGTTCTACACTGTGCTAATGGGATATCATTTATTGCATGGTCTGGTCCTCCATCATGCATCACATGATGTTCATGCTAATCAGGAGTATCTAGTTCCACATGTTTCTTTGGCTGAATAAATGCTATTTTGCAGGGTTACTACTGTCAGTGCAACATTGTTTTTTCCGTTCTTTTAAACTCTGTCGAAGTGAAAAACATCTGACTTCATTTTTTCCATTACGAGATATATTATGAATATATTTTACATGCACAGAAACAGACTAACAAAATATTTGTATTTTTGAATTCTAAAGTACTAAGTAAGTGATAATTTCTACTAATAAGATTTCATAGTTAGATAACTAACTTTCCCTCCTAAAATTGGAAGTATTTTCTAAAATATGCTATTCATATTTTATCAAGGAAAATTAAGCAGAATTTACACTTTAGCTAATACATTGTTTGCATATCTTGTTCTAGGTTATGTAAAAGTAATACATATAAATAAAGCTTATGTTTGAACTTTTTGTATTCTAACAGGTTTTTTTTTCCATTTCATTTGATTCTAGCTAATGGAAACATGTTATGCACTATTATACAGTAATTAAGTTCTTTTTAATGCTGGCTGATGTCATTTTTTATTCTCTCTTTGGGTAGATAGTAATCTGAAGCTACTGTATTCATTATGTTACTTTTAACCTCCTAATTGTGCACTTCAAGATATATAAAAGCAAATTCCATGATATAGCCATAGCAAAACACTTTCAGGCTTTGTTATTTCAGTGTAAGATTTAGGTGCATTGAAATAAATGGGACAAACTGTATTTAACTTTAACTGAATTCTATCCATACCTTCTAAATTAAGGCTACAAATGTTACAAGGGAGAAAATATTCCATATGCGTGGGATACCTTTGATAGTCAAATATAAGAAATAATTAGTAGTCAGTGTAGCATTCCAGTTCTGAACAGCCTGACTGACTACAACACAATAAATGCAAATTCATTCATTCTTGATTAAGGTTTTCCTTTTGCCAATCCTGATTGTCAGGTCATGTGCTTTGATAAGAAGCTTTTGAGCATTACATGTGGCATCTACAATGAGACTACAGTGTTAACTGGGCCAGGTTTCATGCAGGATGCATGAAGAGAGCTCCATTTCTGTGGAAATGTACTGACCTCTGGCGGCCAACTGTGACAGTTATGTCTAAAAGGTATTTAAGATACGGTTTCCCAACTCAATGTTCTTTAGATGTTTTAGAATACAACTTCTTTCACCCCAGACAATTGCTATTGTGGCTGGAGCTGATTTGAACTATAGTTCAAAATATCTGGAAGGCATCGGGCCTGGTATGCTACATTTGAACTGTCAAGTGAAGAGAAATCAGATATTGTCTGTACCCCTTCCCTTGGTTATCCATGGTGCATTCCCACCATACAATATCATTATTCATTTTACCTCTCAGCAATGCTTCAAAAAAGATGCTGTATCACATAAGTAGTTTCTGGCAGCAGTTTTATACATTTGTTCTGAAATAAAGCCTACTGAGTGGGCCTTACTCCCAGTTAAGTAGGTATATCATTGTGGCTGTATGACTTCACTTCTAATCCAATTCTGTGCATGTTTTGGCAAAGCAAATCCCACTGAGCCATGTTTCCAAGTAAGCATGCCTAGGAGTGCAACCTAAACCAGTCAAAAATCCAAAGCTGAAATTGAAAATTTCTTATCAAAGCAATGATGCAGTCTACCTTTTGGA